CTTAGTCTAATTACATTCACTGTAATTACTGATCAGAAAGGACTTACTTCTGCAATTTTGTTATTTGGTTTTTGTGTGTCTTAAGACTTGTTTTTTTCCCTTTACTACTGCTTGCTTTTGTGTTTTGTTGGTTTATTATGGTGAGCCATTTTGGTTTCCTTCTCCTTTCCTTTTGTGTATATTTTTTAGATATTTTGTTAGTGGCTACCATATATATTACATTTAACAGCTTGTACTTAAAATAACCTAGGATAAGTTGGTACCAACTTAACTTTAGTAACATACATAAGAAATCCTATACCATTCCTCCTCTCCCCATTTTGTTGTCATCACTAATTATATCTTTATATTTCACGTGCTCTGTAACAATTTTATTCTTGCTTTTTATACATTTGTCATTAAAAAGCATGAAAGACAAAAACAATTAGAATTATCAAGCATGAATACCTTACCACTAGCTCTTACACTTGTTCATGCTTTTATATTTATTAGGCATCTTTCTTTTTATGTATGGCTTTGAATTACTTTCTAGTGTCTTTTCCCTTCCATCTGCAGAACTCCTATTAGTATTTTTTGTATGGCTGGTCTGGTTGATATGAACCCTCTCAGTTTCTGTTTGTCTGGGCATGTTTTAACTTCACCCTCATTCCTGAAGGAAAGTTTCACTGGCTATAGTATTCTTGGTTTACAGGTTTTTTTTCTTTCAGCACATCAAATATTTCATTGCCTTCTGGCCTTGTGTTAAGCTGGGTTCTCCAGAGGTGCGAAACCAGTGGCGTGGATATATATATATAGAATTTATTTCAAAGGAATGGTGCATGCAATTGTGGAGGTTGGAAAGTCCCAAATCCATGGGTCAGGTGGAAAGCTATAGGCTTCTCCTGACTCATGTGGTTGCAGGAGCTGACAAACCCAAAATCTGCAGGTCAATTGGCAACTTGCTGGCTCATGGGGAGGTGGGAGTTGGCTAATTCAAAATCTGCAGGTCAAGCAGCAGGCTTCTCACATTCCAAGAACCAGAGGTCAGAGGATAATGAGATGAATGCAGGACCGAGAGAGCGAGCTTTGCCAAAACATTTGTTTATATCATGAATACAGGCCACACCCCTGAGGAAACTCCCCTTCCATTTGATTGGCTGCTCTCATCAGATCACAAAATGGGAGGTGACATATAGTGTCTGCCAAACCATTGAGAATTATAGCCTAGCCAAGTTGACATATAACTTTAAGTATCACAGGCCTCAAATGTTTCTGAGGAGAAATCAGCACTCAGTCTTATTGGGGATCCTTTATATGTGACTGCTTCTCACTGCTTGCAGGATACTACTCTTTATATTTTTTGAGACCTCGATGATGCTGTGTCTCAGTTTTGATATCTTTGGGTTTATCCTGCTTGGGGTTCTTTGAGCTTCTTGGATTTGTAGATTCATGTCCTTCACCAGATGCAGGAAATTTTGTCATTATTTCTTCAAATATTCTGTCTCATTCTCTCTCTCATCTTTCTGCAATTCCCATGATGCATATATTAGGTCTATTCAAGCAGTCCCATAATTTTACTAAACTGTGCTCAGCCTCCTTGAGCCTCTGTTCTTATTGCTCTTCAGCCTCTGTAACTTTGACCATTGTATCCTTCTAATTCACTGATTCTTTCTTCTGCCTTATTAAATCTGTTGTTAAATCCTTCCATTATGGTTCTCCTTCAGTTACTGTCCCTTTCACTTGCAATATTTTTGTTTTCTTTCTTTTTATATCTTTTTTTAGATCCTTATTTTGTATTTGGATTGTTTTCCTTATTTCTTTAGTTCTGGGTCTGTTTTCCATTAGCTCTTTAATTGTGTTTAATGCTGTTGTATTATATTCTTCCATTGTTTTATTATTTAGTCTTCCATAGATGTGACTTCACTCCCTTTGTCAAATTTTCATATGAATTGGCCATCATTTCTCTTTTCTTTGTGTGTCTTGTGATTTTTTTGTTGGGGTATTAGAATTCTCAAGTGTGTTAAATTTCTCAATTCTCTCCAGTATTTGCTGTTTTTGCTAGCACTACTGTATTTTTATGCAAATAATGTGCACCTTCTGTTTGCCAACCGCACCCTCGCTCCACGAGGTAATTCTGTAAGTGCATTATGTTAATTTTTTTACAGCAACATGTAAAAACGAGTTGGCATAGTGGCGCTTATGAAAATACCTCATAGGAGGAGGGCATGGCTGGCAAACAAACGTAGAAGGCACAAGTTGTGTAAAAATAAGTACTTTCTGCAAAAAACTCTTAGGCAGGCAGAGCTTTAGGCCTTTGCTTGATTCTCCCTCTCTGTGACAGATCCTTCTCCCACCCTGGTTTAATTAGGATTCAAAAGTTTCACTTCTTGGTTTTCAACTTTCAATGTCTTCCAAACACACTAGAGAACACGCTTTGGTCAATGTGTCCACTAGCAGGCACAGCCACTCAGGTGAGATACTGTGCACTAATCAATCTGTCCACCAGGGAGCACAATCCCCTCTCTAAGGTTATTACTCCCTTCCCTTCTGTTTCTACAACCACATGTTCAGTTGGAAAACCCACACTCAGTGAGCCCTCTTTGAGCTGGGTGTTGCCCTTCAGTTTTGCCTGCGGTTTCCTTTCCCGCTATGGGGGCTTCTTATATCTGAGCTGGCATTCAGGGGAAGCAAGACAGTCTTTCCTCTGTATCAGAGGAGGAGGGACTGGCACTCTCCAAAATGACCTCTGAGAGATCTATCTTGTTGGTTTCAGAGCCACAGTGGCCCTGTGGTGGTCTGGGGAGCAATCCCAACTTAGGTGACCCATCTTCTGGCTCCACTGCAGGGAATCTTCTGTAAGAGTTCGTACCAGTCCAGCACCTGACAGTTACCAAGTGGGGGATGGGATGTCATGTTCCAATAGGATCCCCATGAAGGTCTGCCTTGTTGCTATCAGAGCCCCACCAGTAGTACATTTGCTGTGAGTGCCGTCTCCACTCAAGACACCTGCTTCCTAGCACACCATAGCTTCAGTCAGCAGTCCTCAGTATCGACTAGAAGAGGGAGCAGATTGACCCAAACTCACCCCCAGGGAGGTTTATCCTCTTGGATTGAAGGCCTGAGCAATGGGGTGTGCAGGGAGGCAGGCAGAGTGATGACTATGGGAGCAGATTCCATTGCAGGGAAACTTCTGTAGCACTTTGCAGCAGCCTGGCAGCCTACTGTGAGCAGTAGGGTGAGGGGCTGTCATGGTCTGAACAGACTCCCAGGGAGTTCTGCTTTGTTGCTATCAGAGATCCTCACCCCCCACCAATAGTATGTTGGCTGTGGATGTAGTCAAGATGCCTGCTTCCTAGCACACAGCAGCCTCAGACAGCAATCCTCAGTATGGGCAACAGACCCAAACTCATCCCCAGTAGGTCCCATTGGTTACAGAGGCCTGATCCTCTGCAGGAAGGCAGGCAGAGTGTTGACTGTGGGAGCAGACTTCAGTGCAGGGGCCTTCTGTAGCAATTCGCAGCAGCCTCGCAGCAGTGTCCAGGTTGGGAACATGCCAGTACACTCCGCACCCACAAGTTCTGCCTTGTTGATTTTAGAGCAGAAGCCTGGGGTCCTGTCACTTTGTGGCGTGGTGGTTAGGGAAGTAGGCTCTTATGCTAGGGTTTCTTCCCCAGTTCACAGTAGCCAGCGACCCACGTGGCTGGGGGGCGAAGTGATTTTCCAACCATATGTGGCTCGATGATTCATAAATTCTTGTCTGTCTGCCGTTACATGCTGCTGTTCTCTGCTCCCCAATTCACAGTCCCTCAAGGATGAGTATGGTTTCCTTACTGTCTTTGTGGGGGAGGGTCAGAACGATGGCCTGTTTATACTGTCATCTTCCCATAATTAATTTTTAAATTTTCATGAAGTCCAACTTACCTATTTTTAATTTGGTTGCTTGTGTTTTTTGTGTCACATCTAAGACTCCACAGCCAAATCCAAGGTCATGAAGATTTACCTCTATGTTTTCTTCTATCAGTCTTATAGTTTAGCTCTTACATTTAGGTTGTTGATCTATTTTGAGTTAATTTTTCTAAATGGTGTGAAGTAGGGATTCGACTTCATTCTTTCCCACGTGAGTATCCAGTTGTCCTAGAACCATTTATTGAAAAGGCTATTCTTTCCTCATTGTATGGTCTTGGCGTACTTGTCAAAAATTAATTGATCACAGAGTGCTACGTGAGTCAGAGTGCTACGTGAGTTGATTCTAACTCACAGCAACCCAGTAGGACACAGCAGAACTGCCTACAGGGCTCCCAAGGCTGAAATCTTTATGGAAGTAGATTGCTACATCTTTTTTCCATGGAGTGGCTGGTGGGTGGGTTCGAACCGCTGACCTTTCAGTTAGTAGCTGACTGTTTAACCACTGTGCAACCAGGCTCCTTAAGATTGCCACTTACTATTACTTAATTCTAAAGTTCAATTTTTTCTCATTCCTATGAATCATCTCTATGTATTTCTATTTGCTTTCGACTGCAACAAGAAATTTTTTAAAAAGCTAACCAAAAAGCCAACGCAATTTGGATTCATATCTAACCAAGCCCACTCTATATTCTCCACACCTAGGTGTCATGCCCACCAGGATTCCCTTAAAAGGACAAAAGCAAATTTAAAACCTAAAATTCCTCACAGTGTATAAAGTAAAATAATTCCTGTTAATAGTCTAAGAATGCTCTTTTCCCTCTTAGGCTACCCTATGGCACAGGCTATTCCACTCACTAACTTGAAGTTTGAAGACTCTAGAGAGTGTGCAGGTAACACATAAAGGTTTCTTAGTTACTGGCCTTCCTTTGAAGGCCTCACCCCTAGCCTTGAAGAAGTAAACCCCTTGAAACAATGATTTTCTACAATGAGGATAATAATACTAACATCATAGGATAAATAAAAGTACTTAGCACTTTATACGGCATATAGCAATTCTTCAATAAATGGTAGCATATTGGTATTTTGTTTGTTTTTTCCAGAAATAACAATCTTACCAAGTAATAACTGCTGGATTGGCACCTGCTAACTTTCTCTTAGCGTAATTTATTTTCTGCCGGGGATACCAATTTTTTTCAGTTATGTTTACTTCTTGAATCCACGATCCTCCTTTCTTCAGCATTTTTTGCTCAAAGTTCTAAAGGAAAAGAACATGATTTTCTTCACTCCTTATAAAATTACATATGATTACATTCAAGCAGATTAAATCCTCAAATGATCTTAAAATAAGTATCAACAACTGGGAACAACTCTATGGCTCTTTATACAAATTCTAATCGTATAATGAGAATAGATATAAAAGAATGACAATGAGCTTGAGTGACTATAGTTAGGCTTAAATTACCATAGGGAGCTATGAAGGATGAGCATCATGAGGTTTAATTATTTTGGGGTTGGTTATTATGAAGAACTTTTGAGATTTAAGCAATTTCTGTCTTTATGATCAAGGAAAACCTCTTGTGGAACTGTTTCTAAATTAAAAGTTGTCTCAGAGAAAAACCAGACCCATCCTCACCTTCAGTTCTCCCAGTTACTTGCTGTTGTTGTGTGCTACTGTTGATTCTGCCTCATACTGACCCTATAAGACAGAGCAGAACTACCCCACAGGGTTTCCTGGGCTGTAATCTTGAATGGGAGCAAATCACCAGGTCTTTTCTCCTATGGAGCAGCTGGCAGGCTCAAACTGCTGACCTTCTAGTTAGCAGCCAAGTGGTTAACCCTTGCGCCACCACTGCTCCTTCTCCCAGTTATAAATAAACTCAAATGAAACAACTGCTTTCTCCAAATAAAGATTTTGTTTCTTATCTGGTTTTCAGGCCAAATGACCCCAAATGTTAATTTTGAGAAATGCTGTACAAATACCTAAGTATTTTACTAGACATGACTTGGTGCATTTCTACATCTCATAACAGAAGAAACTGGATCAATCTCTGGAACATTATACTAAAATGAAAAATGTGTGTAAAACAAAGCATACTTTCCAGTCGAAGGAAGGGTCCTTTACAAACACATCCATGGTATTAGTGAGTAGGTCTGGGTGTGAGCGAAAGGCTCTTAGTGCGTGCACCATTACACTGTATATCAGACCTGTTTCTTTCATTGGTAACATCAGATTGATAAATTGGCGAGTTAGACGAAAAGGCATCAACTCAGGGACTGGCAGAAACTAAATAAGAGCAAAAAATACAATGAAGAAGTAGAATATGTGAACTAGAAATCATAAAGTAGCAGGCACAAATGAAACATTTTATCATAGTTATTATTCACATTTAGAGAATACAAACCCCACTTTTCTTGAAATCAGCTATACAGATGTGAATTCACCATGTCGAAGAGTAATCAACATAGCTAACAATACTCCCTCAACGCAATAACCTATGTGCATAGCACCACATAGCCCTCAGTAATTTTTAAAGTATAACGTAAAGCGTTCAGAGAGTTTAATGTCAGAGAAAAGATTCAGATCACATTTTGTGAGACACAGTTTGATCGTGGGGTCTCACGAAATCTCCGTATAGTAATAAAGGTTTTTATATAGGCATACATTTTATTCTAGGCTCTGATTACCTAATTTGTCGTTATAACTTTCATAATCTGTCTGACAAGGTCAAAACAAAACAGATTATCCCTTTCCACAAGAATGTTAGGTTTAATGACCAGGACAAAACTGACATAAGTAATGTATCATTTCTTCTTTAAAAATTATGCTCTTCATGAAGGTATTATAAAGTCGTATGATAGTTCTAAACTAGACTAGACAATATGAGCAAGATAAGCTTACTTGAGTAGCTGATCCAAATGCATGTCCAAAGTCAATTCCAACCATGCCACCGGTTTCCATATTCACCATGAAATTGTTCAGATGTCTGTCTCCGATCCCAAGAATCCAGTGGCTGATACATAACAGAGCGTGAGAGCTGGCAAAGTGGGAGCGAAGTGCCAGGAAGGCCTCGGGGCCTGTGCTCATCTTCACAAAAGCACGCCTGAAAGAGCAGAGACATAACTTTGTGGTCTTTGCTACACACCTGCTTGTTGGTAAAGTCAGAAGTCTACTTACTTTAAGAGATCACCTGGCACTCTACTTTCTCTTTTTCTAAAAGATGTGATGGTTTCAGTACGACTAGCTCCCCTATGATATAATAATAGGAAACATTTTATTATAACAAATTTCTCATGAGACCTCAAACTTAAATTTTACAATTCTTTGCTTATATTGATCAACTGGATTAAAATTTTTTTTTATTGTGGTAATATATATATATAACAAAATGTTTTCTGTTTTAAGAATTTTTAAGTGTACAATTCAGTGACATTAATTACATTCACCATTATTCATTTCCAAAAGTTTTTCATCGCCCCAAGAGAAACTCAGGACTCATTAAGTAATAACCCATTTCTCCTCCCCCAGCCCCTGGTAATCACCAACAGACTTTTGTCTCTATGAATTTGCCTATTCTAAATATCAAACAACTACATTTTGATGATATCTGAAGCAAAATTTTCTAAGAATCGAAAGTTTTCAAATTTGAAAATGATGAGCTAGTTAGTAGAACAAAAACACAAAACAAAACTTACTTATACATTAGCATGTAAGCTCCAACATCACGTTTTCCAGACATCTTTGTCAGCCAGTCTCTATATTCAGACAGTGGTGCTTTGGGATCACTAAGTAGGAAAAAGGGAATTAAAATTAGGAAGATATAATTTCAGAGGCAAAAATAACCAAGAACTTCATGTATATTATATAAATTTATTGAAAAACAGTGAAGCAGGGAAAAACAGGCTTTTAATATATTATTAAATCATATTTAATATTAACATTAAACCCATGTTACTTCAATCTAGAATGTCGACATACCATTATTCATTCTTAATTACTCCTAAAGAAACTGCACTAAGCGAGGGGGACAGTGGGCAAACCCTACCTTCACTGATAACTCCCTGGTAAGGATCACCATGAATCTAATTCCCAAAATATGGAAATGGATACAATCCTCACTTTTGCACTTCTCCATCCTAGTCACCAGCTGTTCATGTGGCACTCTCTCCCTCTTCAACCCTAGCCACCCACTGCTGGGTCAGAGCTCACAAGTTAGATGGACGCCATCTTTCAGCCCTAGCCAGCTAGGGTGAGCTAGGTCAGACCTCACATGTTAGAAGGACATCTTTCAGACTGCCAAATTGGCAGACACCAGCTCCTGCTGGCTCTCACTGCCCCTGTGTTTGTTAATTTGCTGGAATGGCTTACAGAATTCATGGAGAGTACACCATACTTTTGGCAGCAACTATATTACAACCAAAAAGTATACAAAGAAACACATAGGGTGAGATCCGGGACGGGTCACAGCATGACGCTTCCATGTCCCAAAGAGGGATGCATTACCCTCTCTTGTACATGGTCACCAACCAGGAAGCTCATCTGAACCTTAGGGCTCAGGGCTCTTACCGGCCTCACCACTTGGCAATGATAAATTACACCATGCTTCCTGAGGCTTAGTCAACATCAGGCCCTCAGGTGGTCCTTCTTGGGCTGGTTAGTCCCCGTTCATTAGCCTTAGGTATCGGTACAACTTGAAAGAAATCCAAGCTATTTTGTATGCAAACATTCAGGCATAAAACAATCAGATATGACAAATTTCTCACTTCATATAGAGAGGAATAACTGAAAAGACTAAGATGAGCTATACCTAAGTGTTTATTACCTAGGCATATAATTTAATCTAAACATCTGTGGACCTTGAGAAGGACCATAGCGACAACAGCACAGTACTAGATGCTACTAAAGTATGCAAGAAATGCTAACTCAACTTACTATTAACAGACAAAAAGCTTACAAACTATTTACAGAAGGCTAGTTAAGTTTGTTTTTATGCTTAGTTAGAATATTGCCACCCTTTTTCTTCACCATTTCCAGTAGTGCAGATAGGCACAAAATCCATATTAAATTTTTTTTTTTTTTTTAATGACAATTGCTAATTAAATTGAATTTGAAAAGCTGTTTTCAACAATGTTTCACTGGAAACAGGCACTATCTGGGAAGCTGGAAACAATGTGATATTTGTATGTTTAGCCACTTTTGGGTCTGTGCCAAAAGCTTTAATAAGTTTTCTGAAAAAAAACCAAACCATTGTTTTTACAACATGTTACTTAGCAATTCACTCACATAAGGCAAATCTTTTCTAAGTCATTACTAAGTTAATTTCACAAAGAGACTACTCTGTTTCCACCTAAATTCTCTCCTCTTAGTCCCTGGGTGGTGTAAATTGTTAAACACGTGACTATTAGCTGAAAGGTTGGTGGTTCAAACCCATCCAGAGTCTCCTTGGAACACAGGCTTTGTGATCTGCTTTTGAATGGTCACAGCCTTGAAAACCCTACAGAGCACTTCCGCTCTGCACATACAAGGTCGTCATGAGTCTGAATCGACTAGATGGCAGCTAACAACAACAGTTTCAACTAGGATGAAAATCCTTAGGTTTTAAAACTGCAACATGCTAAATTAAGAAAAAAATATGGCAATTATTTTAGCCTTGTTTTGAAAAAGGTAATGGGAAGTAACTTATACAATTCTGTATTTGCAAAGCACTTTAAACTCTATTAATAACTATGTTTACTTTATGCAATTCTATTTGACCATCCCATTTTACAAAAGGAGGCATGGGAAAAAAGACAAGGCAAGTCACTCGTTCAAGGTTCCCACTCTGAGTCGAAACCTTAGCACCAGAACAAGACCTAGAATTTTTGACTCCAGGAAGTATTCTTCATCAGTTTCCCTGTCTTCTAGGAAAAGTAAAAACAATTCTAGGTAAAAAACTCAAATGTTTGGAATTAAAAGTTGGTAAACACTGTCCTATTAGCAACTATTATCCTGGAATATAAGTTTGACAATTTAACGTAAATCATTTCTGACTGATGAAATTAAAAAAACAAAAAAACAAACCAAAATAATTGTCTTGAGTTGATTCAGACTCGTGGCAACCCCATGTGTGTCAGAGTAGAACTGTGCTCCATAAGGTTTTCAACGGTTGACTTTTTTGGAAGTAAAAATCACCAGACCTTTCTTCTGGGGTGCCTTTGGGTAGACTTGAACCTCCAAGTATTTGGTTAGTAACTGAGTGTGTTAACCATTTACACCACCCATGGATGATGGCAAAATAGTGCCTATTTAAATACCTTCAGGAAAGAATGACAGCACAATGAAAAGAAATAGGCCTCGAAGCTATTTCTGACCATTTCCTCTTCCTTTATTACAGTAAGTCACCAAAGCCTGTCAATTATTCATTCAAAATGCCTCTTATAATATTGTCCTTATTTTCCTTTACAGAAACAAAAAAACAAGCTCTTCTCTGAGTATTAAAAAATACATGTTCATTATAGATAACTTGAAAAATAAAGGATAAAGAAAAATAAAAAGCACTTTATATCATAACCTGGAATTAACCACTAATAATTCTAATTACACCACCGATACAACCCTGATGCACACTTTTACTGATTTTGAACTACGCAGTATCCCCTTGTTCTGTTCGAGCAACTGCCTCTTGGTTTACATGAGCACAATTAAGTGTCCTGGAATTCCCATTCTTTGCAGCGTTATCCATGATTTGTTATGATCCACATAGTCGAATGCCTTTGCACAGGCAATAAAATACAGGTAAACATCTTTCTGGTATTCTCTGCTTTCAGCCAAGATCTATCTGACATCAGCAATGATATCCCTCATTCCATGTCCTCTTCTGAATCCAGCTTGAATTTCTGGCAGTTCCCTGTCAATGTACTGCTGCAACCAGTTTTGAATGATCTTCAGCAAAATTTTACTTGGGTGTAATATTAATTATATTGTTTGATGATTTCTGCATTCTGTTGGATTGGGCACAAATATGGATATCTTCCAGTTGGTTGGCTAGGTAGCTGTCTTCCAAATTTCTTGGCATAGGCAAGTGAGCGCTTCCAGTGTTGCATCTGTTTGTTGAAACATCTCAACTGGTATTTCATCTATTCCTGGAGCCTTTTCACCAATGCCTTCAGTGCAGCTTGGACTTCTTCCTTCAGTATCATCAGTTCTTAATCATATGCTATCTCCTTTACTAGTTAAGCTAAATTATTGCTTGGTTTTAACAAAACTTCAGAGGATATTTTTGATTTAAAGATTATCTCACAGCAATAGTTTATGGGGTTCATTCAGCTTTCATGGCTACAGAAAGATTGGATCCCATGGGAATTTGAAATTCTGTTCTGTATTTTCCCCCATTTGCTCAGTTGAATCTTTGATCCAACTGTTTTGTAACTGGGGCACCATCCAGTTCTTCCGGTTTCATGGCAAAGGAGACAGTTGTTTATAGAGGCAATTAGCCACACATTCCATTTCTTCCTCCTGTTCCTGACTTGCCTTCTTTCTCTATTGCTCCAGGCAAAGACAGACCAATTGTTGTGCCTCAGATGGCCTCTTACAAGCTTTTAAGACCCCAGGCACTAACCAATGAGTGAGGAGGTAGAACAGAAGCACTAAACACATTATTAGGCAAATTAACTGGGATGTCCCATGAAACCATGACACTAAACCTCCAAACCAAGGAACCAAATTCCACGAGGTGTTTGGTTGTACATAAGCAGCCTCAGTAACTACTGCTTTTTTTTTTTTGTCATTGTTGTATATAAGTCCATCACACAATTTTGCCAATTCATCTTTCTACAGGTGTACAGCTTGATATCGATTATATTGACTGTGCAACTCTACCCTTAATCAATGTGATTTTTCCATCACTGTAAACTGAAACTCAATATTCCATAATGAATAACTCCTCCTTTCCACAGCCCTCCCGCCCATGGTAACCACTAATAAACTTTGGTCTCTATACATTTGCCTTTGCTTGTCTATTTTTGTCTATTTATATAAGTGAGGTCATATAATATTTGCTCTTTTGTGATTTACTATTTCACCCAGCATAATGTCTTCAAGCTCCATCCATACTGCAGCATGTATCAAGACTTTATTTCCCTTACTAAGTATTATTTCATTGTATGTATATACCACATTTTGTTTATCCATTCATCTGTTGATGGGCATTTAGATTGTTTCAACTTTTGGCTTTTGTGAATAGTGCTGAAATGAACACTGGTGTACAAGTATCTGTTTGAGTCTCTGCTTTCAACACTTTTGGGGGTATACCTAGGAGTGGAATTGCTGGGTCATATGGTAGTCCTATGTTTACTTGTTTTGAGGAACTGCTACACTAATTTTCCACAATGGCTGTATCATTTTGCATTCCCACATGCAGCAGATAAGGGTTCCAATTCCCCACATCCTTGTCAATGTTTGTTATTTTCTGTTTTTTTTTTTCAAAAAATCTTAGCCATGTTAGTGAGAGTGAAATGGTATCTCACTGTAGTTTTGATTTGCATCTCTGTGATGGCTAATGATATTGATCATCTCTTCATGTGTTTGGTAGCTGTTTGATTGTCCTCTATGGCAAAATGTCTCTTCAAGTTCTTCCCCCTTTTTATGATTGGGCTCTTTGTCTTTTTGTTTTTAAGTTGTCGAAGTCTTATGTATATTCTGATAATTAGATTCTTATTAGATATATGGTTTCCAAAGATATTCTTCTAGCCAATTGCTTGTCTTTTCACTTTTTTTAGTGAAGTCTTTTGATGAACAAAAATGTTTA